TTGATTTCAAGTTCTTTGGATAAAAGAACATGAGATCTTAAAGCTTGAGAATAATCTTTGGCTTGATGCTCTGCTTTCAAGACTCACTGATGTGGTGGTCCTAACGTCCAAGCCCACTGGGGTGGCAACATCACTCCCACAGCTTAGCAGCCCATGCTGTGCCTCTCTACTGTGGCCCCACCTATCCCGAGGCTCTCTGCCAGAGTCCTGCCCACACGGCAGCAAGCTGAAGTGGCCTCACCCATGCTGCAGTTGCACCAGGTTTCCAAACATTGGACTCACCCCCAAAGTTCCACCAGATGTTGGTCCTCTCCTCTGAAATCGGGGTGGAGTCAGCACTGCCCCCTGGACCCAAGCACTCTTGGCCAGTGGTAAGAGTGGCAGCCCTGATGATCTCTGAATCACCTTTCGGCTCCTTCTTCCCTTGTCTTGAAGAATAGTACAAATTCACAGGCAAAGAGTCCAGTCTTGTAGGGTCTAAGAAGCCTAGCAGTCTTCCTTCATTTTGTCTCATTTTCTCTGTTTACTTTAGTCCCAGCTGGCAGTGTTTCTACTGGTATAATCCCATCTCCATTCCAGGCTTTTATCAAGATGGTTAATTAAATTCACGGTTCATACCCACACTATTTCCTTATCAAATGGTGGCTCAGCCACACCCCTGGCATTCTCTTCCAAACACACTTTCTCATTTTTTGCAATATAGACAGACTGAGGATTTTCTAAATCTTTAAGTTCTGTTTCATTTTTGCTTGACAATTCCACCTTCAATTCATTTTCCTCTTCTAGAATTTTACTATAAGCAGTCAGGAGGAACCAAGCTGTCCTTCAACACATTGCTTAGAATTTTCCTCAGCTAAATATTCCACTTAATCACTTGCAAGTTCTACCTCACACAAAACTCTAGAGCTCAAACACAATTCAGGTGAGTTTTGGCTACTTTATGACAAGGATCACTTTTTCGTCATTGTCCAATAACATGTTCCTCGTCTCCGTCTGACATCTCACTAGAATGGCCTTTACCATCTATATTTCTACCAACATTCTCTGCATGATTATTTGTGTATTCTCTAAGAATATGGAAGCTTTTTCTACAGCTCTCCTCTTTTCTGAGACCTCACCAAAATTACCTTCACTGTTCATATTTCTCTATGCACTCCAAAACTTTTCCAGCCTCTAGCCATTACCCAGTTGCAAAGCCACTTCCACATTTTTAGGTATTTATTATACAGCACCACCACTTCTTGGAACCAATCCTGTCTTAGTCAGTTGGGGATGCTATAAGAAAGTATCATAGACTGGGTGGTTTATAAACAAGAGAAATTTATTTCTCATAGTTCTGAAGAATGAAAGACCAAGATCAGGGTGTCAGCATGGTCAGATTCTGGTGAGAGTCCTCTTCCTGGTTGCAGAATTCTTGTTGTATTCTCACATGGAAGAAAGAGTGTGAGAAAGCTTTCAGGGGTACCTTTTATAAGGGCACCTATCCCATTCATGAGGACTCCACTCTCACGAGCTAATTACCTCCAAAAGGTGCCGCCTCCTAAAACTATCACATTAAGGCTTAAGATTTCAACAAATGAATTTTAGGGAGACAGAAACATTCATTCCATTGCAGTATTATTGAAAGAGAATTTTCACCTGATAAACATAATTGCTAGTCTTAGGGCTTTTTTATTTTTGATGTTGTGACATTGGTTAGATATGATGGTAATCTAGAAATGATCAGAGAGCACACCCTAGTGCAGTGATGCCAGAAATCTTGTTGGCATATAGTATGTGTCTACTTGGTCTTCATAAGCATCCTAAGCTGAAAGTGAAGCTGAATAGAAGATTAAGGCCAGATACGTGTGTAAAATGTAAATATGTTTGTGTGTTTGAATGACTACATGCAATAGGAAACCTAGTAGAAGATCCAAGAATATCCTGCATTCCCTCTGTAGTTTTAAGGAGGGAGTTTTTCCAAATATTCCATTATTTTGTATTTCTCAAGTGGACTTATTAAAATGTGAGTATCTCACAATCTTTGATTCTGTGTCTTAGGGAATGTGTCATTTATCTAAAGCTTATGGTGGTACAAAAGCTCAAGGGTAATAACTGCTAGTATGACTGGAAATTCATCAGGGTTATTGCCTAGTAAGATCTGCACTGAACACTGATATTTAATTGCATTGAATTTCTCCAAGTACCTTAAGAGAAAGTTGGCAAGAATAAATATTCATGCTTGAAAATATTTTGAATATGAGTAAAATGGGTCAACACTGAACACCACAGTTGGCACTATCAATGGATGCTAATTAAGTACATAAAAGAAACCACAAAAAGAAAGAGAATGGTCAAGGCATCCTTCCCATCCTTGGAAAGTCAGTATTTTCAGACTAAAATATCATTTTTGACATGGGCCAGTAGGGCTACCACAAAATATATAATTCCTGATGCAATATAAGCTCCATCTGCAAAGCTTTACATTAAAATTCAGTTAACATTATCCATTTTCCACATGACAACAGTCACTTGAAACAGGCAGGAACTCACAGGCCAAAGGGTCAGTAAGTGCCTGTGGCCTCTTGTTCTCTTGGCATCCTGTGGAGACTGTGCTTGGACTGGGACAGAGCTGAAGGTCATGCTTTGCTGTGCTGGAGCAAAAGGAGCCATCTTCTATTGCGCTCCCATCTTATGAGGCAAGTGTGAGAGTTGCATTTCACATGACAAGTAATAAATAATTTGACCTCAACGACCAAGCAGTCTGAGCTTGGATGCCAGCTGATTATGACACTCTGGAAAAGGGCAGCTGTGCAGAATACATAGAACTTGGCCCATTCCCCACTCACCCTCGGTCCTGTGGAAATTTAAATTTTTTGACAGATTCTCCTGCTTAAAAGAAGGGAAGCCCTGGTCCCATGGGAAATTTCAGCCCTCTCACAGGCAGAGAATTTGCTGGCAGTCCCAGTTATAACTCCTTGCTCAGCAGCCCAGAGAGAGTTCCTGGAGTCATGTATCAGGCAATTCTTGTCTCTACAGTGTCCTTTGTACTTTCTGCTGCTTTCTGTGCATCACAAGAGCTACTTCACAACTTGCCTCCATCCAAATCCAATTATGGCCCTATGTCAAATTGGCCAGTAGTTATCTCCCACAGGAATGGTGGGAGAAAGCTAATGATTGGCATCAGATTGAACTCTGCCCTTTGAAGTGGAGCGCAACAATTCAACAATCATCAAAGCCCAGATCCTCATGACCCACAGCTGTCCAGCCATCTGATGGCAAGAATTTGACCATTTGCTGGTTAGGTGCTCATAGAAAATCTAAATCCAGAAATCGCCATCTCCCATTCTTTGAGCATGTCTTGAGTGCACTACACTAAAAACTGGGATTAAGAGGAAAAGAAGCAAGTAAAATGTGGCAATGATAGCCTACTTGCTGAGAAAGACTTTTTAAAAAGATAAACCAAAATAACAGATAGAAAATTATAACAGTTCTCACTCAAAAAAAATTGGCTTGTAGAACCACAATTCCGACTCAAGCTGCTTTTTAGGGAGAGGCACAGAGAGAGATTGAGAAAACTCCCTTGACCCACTCAAGGTATTTCCTTAAAAGAAGCCCAACTGGATGGAATACATCGGGGTCAGTTCAACAGTATATCCTAATCTAGTTACAAAGAACTACTTTCTGATTAGGGCCCCTTTCCTCTTCTTCCCATCCATGTCCTATTTCCCACACAAAACTGATAAGTTATATAAAAGTAATAAGAATGGAGGGGCTGGCCCCGTGGCTGAGCGGTTAAGTTCGCGTGCTCCGCTGCAGGCGGCCCAGTGTTTCGTTGGTTCGAATCCTGGGGGCGGACATGACACTGCTCATCAAACCAAGCTGAGGCAGCGTCCCACATGCCACAACTAGAAGGACCCACAACGAAGAATATACAACTATGTACCGGGGGGCTTTGGGGAGGAAAAGGAAAAAATAAAATCTTTTAAAAAAAAAAGTAATAAGAATGGAAACCTGCACACTGCTTACTGTCTGCATTAACAAGAGTTACTATTCCACCAGCTTCATCAACAAACTTTACTCATCCAGAAAGTCTCTTGCCTAAAAAGATCAAAGCTGCAAATAACTTTATTGGTCACTCCAGGAACTACCTGAAAGACCCTCTTCAAAAATACTCTTCAATAAAAAGTGCTAAATGACATTTTTCAACCCCAAGACTGTTTGAACTGTTTATCTTAAAATTCTTGCCTTGCTGCGTCCACCAACCCTAAACCATTATATTAAGATTCTTACCCAACCCTAATCACACCTTCTGCCCATATTGAAAGACCTGCTCTACATCAGACTTCTAAATCTGGGCACATAACTCTCTTACCATGCCACCTCCAAGACTGTCCGAAGGCTCTGTCTGGGTAGTGCTCTCCCTGACACTGTTATGCAATAAAGTCAGCTTGGTCTATCAAATCGTTTGGCTGATATTTGGGAAATACAGTATATGATGAACATAGTCACCACTGCTGTACATCGTGTGACAGTGGACTGAGCCTAGCTCTTAGGACCAATATCTATGGATATTTCCGAACCAATGCACCGACTGAATGAACACAGGTATATTCAGAGAAATCAGTTACCAGTCCAGAGATTTAAAAGTGCAGAAACACAAGCAAAAAAGTAAAGAAAGCAAGTATGAACGTATTTACTCTAGGGAAGTGAGCAAATTCATTGCAAGCATGACAGAAAACACAGAAGCAGAGAAGGAGATTATTAATCAAAGCATATATAAAAATAAGTGTTAAAATGCTCAATATCTATTTCTGTCACAGCCACGTTTCTGAGACATTCTCCGCTAAGGGTAACCTGGGGATGTCTGTCCCCAAAGTTTCTGGATGCATAAGAAAGACTGGGTGGGAGGAAAACAACACTCTTCAAGCCCCTTTTCTCGTCCTCGGGAGACCCTGAGGTTCCAGGTCTCAGCAGCAGTGGCAGGAAAACCTCAACCTGCACTGCAGGCTCTCAAGTCAGGGCGCTCGCCTCTTGCTGCTCAGGCGCATTGCTGCGCATGCTCCTTGCTGTCCGCGTCCTGAGGGCAGAGCTGAGACGCAGGTGGTCGAGTTTCTTCCTTCCTGATTCTTTCTCACTAGCGGGGACCCAACTGGTAGGTCCGTGGAGCAGTCCTTCCAGGAGTCTAACCGTGAGTGAGTGTGAGGAGGGAGCCAGCGGGCTTCGGCAGGTCCTCGAGGTCGTCGTCCTTGTCCTCACAGGCATCGCAGCCGCCATGACCCTTGTCGTAGTGGTGCTGGGACGAGGGAGGACGGTGGGCCGCGGAAGGGGGGTCTCCGAGGAAGACGAGGTGAATCCAGGGGGCAGCCGGGACTGCCGACAGAGCACGGACTCCGGAGTCCTCAGTGGGGCCTGGGCAGGGGGCGGGTGGGGGCGGGCTCCACGTGGAAGCTCGTCTCCTCTGCCCTCGGAGCGCGAAAACCGCCGTAGGCCGTATGGCAAGGCTTGAGCCTTTCCCTGTGTTCCAACCGAACTTGATGGAAGCGGGCAGAGTGCGCCTAGGAAATGGGAGTGTGACCAAAGCAATGGTCACTCAGGTTGTCACTTTCTAGCGATATTTTCCTAAATGTCTTCATGGTGGGGAATCCAGTTGGGAAACCAAACCTCTTCAGAAATGTGCTCCTGTCTTTTATCATGTGCCTTAAGGTGATTTCTATGCCTCTTTGATGCTCACATGAACAAAAGCTTATCTGGTGTTTTTAGAAAGCATGAACACTTATAATGACCCTGGGACTTACTTTGAAAATATTTTAGAAATTAAAGAGAGTACAAATAACCGTTTTTCCATAGTGTTCATATATAGCTATCCTCTGACGTGCAATTTTCAAATTACAATATTGTATTTTCAGTGGGAAATATGAGTGGGCATGTAAAGACAAGATCTAAATCTGCAGGAAGAAGAGATGATCGAGAGTCTTCCCAGGCAGTTGGACCTGTGGTTGTGAGTGCTTCAACATTTGATGTTTTATATTACCAGAATCGACTTTTTTAATGTTGTTGAACTAATATAGATACACTGATACAAATCTCCCTTACTTATAGAAAATGATAATGGAATCCTATGAAGAAAACACTGATCCAGGAGAATTACATTCTGTTGTTACCTGGATGGGAACACTCTTATGTTCCCCATATTTTGCCCTATGACTTTCTTCTCAAGCTTATTGATAATAGATTACACACATCCATCCCCGTGTAGATTAAAATAGCTTCCAAAATCCTTACAGGTAACATTTTGCTTGGAGGAGATTATCTGTGGGAAGAGTAACAATTTTATTTAAAAAAATATATATATGTATATATTAATTACTGTTGGTGAATGTCTTTAGAATTACTTATGATTAGATAGATGCGTTTGTATTGTGTATATTTATTGACTTTTTATTTGCACACACACTCACACCCCTAGGCTCAGCAGCCCAGTGATGAACAACCTCAACTAGAGGAACCACCAACTGAGGGTCAGGATATTATACCTGCTCAGGACATTGATGATGAAGGAGCACCTACAGTTCAAGGTGAAAGGAGAGAGAATAAGAGTGCCTGTGTGTCTAGGGTTGATGGACATGTATTTGTGCATCGTGAAGTATGACACACCAGTAACAGGAGGAAAGAAACATTAAAAAAGCACCTCAAACATTCCCTGCTACTGCTCTGGGGAAGGAGTGGAGGAAGGACAAGTTAAAATGCCACAAAACTTTCCTATCATTTTGAAAGTGGCTTTTTCTTGATTGGGCATTTGTATGTAAACCTTTGAGTGCTTTCCAGAGCTCCTATATGGGTCGTTCAGCCAGTTTATCATTGGTTTTTTCATGTTTCTCGGGGGGAAGGAGATCTTGGGGTTTCCTAGTCCACCACTTTGCTGACATCCTCATTTACTTTCTAAGATTTCTTTCTCACACATTTATTAGTGCCTCCTTATGCCATGTGATATACTAAGTGCTAGGAGTCTCAATGCTAATGAGAGACATAATTTTTATCTGAAGCTTATAATTTAGTCAGACAGACTCAAACAAACCACTTATTTAATGTGATAAGTACAATAACAAATAAATACAAAAGGGACAATTAAGTTTTCCAGGAGTAGCCTGGGGAAAGGAAAGGGTAATATTTGAAAAATCTGTATTCCATTTTTCTAGAAACAGACTCCTGAACTAATGCTCTTGGGATTGTTATGCATCACATTTATTACCACACTAGCATGTAAGCTTTTATTTCATAATGCTTAGAGAATGAATATTATTTCATTATTCATGTTTCATGGTTTTACTTCTTAAATTGATAACGTTTTATTTTTAAGGGCCTGATGTGGAAGCTGCTCAACAGGAACTGACTCTGCTGAAGACTGTGGATGAGCCTGGAGATGGTCCTGATGTCGCGGAAGAGATTCTACCAAGTCTAGAGCCCCTTAAAATGCCAGAAGCAGGTTTGTTATCCATTAAGATGCAAATTATTAAATAATTAATTTACACAATATTATATTTCTTATAATGTAGAGGTAACATTACTGCTACTTTAATAACAGACTTCACATATAAAAGTTATTTGCAAGGTAGTTCAGACTCCAAATGATTGTCATATAGGCTATCAGAGATGGAAAAAAGTCAATGTCATATTGAATTACAAGATATGAAAGTATTTTCTCACTTTTGAGTATGTCATTTAGTGAATAACTAATAATTTTCACATATTTTTGTAAAGGCCTGCTTTGAACAAATACGTACACATTATAATAAACATCAGTTTATATTTTGACGTCACATGTGATGGTAATGGCTTAAAACTAGTGTAGCCATGTAATTTATTGCACAAACTGAAACCCTTTTAATTGTGTAAAGAGGCAGGAGTATGGGTAAAAATGGGGACAAATGTTTTCCCTGCTTAAAACAACTACATAAGGGCTAAACTATCCCAAAGAAACACTTTTTCACTTTCCCACAATAGAGACAAAACAAATGTAATAATGGGCTTTCTATTTACTTCACTTAGGTAGTTCCAAGCACATCCTATATTCAGAATATTATTTCACATCAAAACATTAATAATATCTTTTTTTTCTTAGGGTTTTTGTTTGGTTGGATTATTACTAAAAGTATATACATTTTTTTCTTTCTAGCTATACCTATCTTTAAATAGTTTGATTTAATTTGCTCTGAACTGGAACAGTCTCTTTGTTTCCATATTCCACTAAAAAAAGTGACATGATTAAAAATACTGTTAATATGTGTGAAAGTTTACCTTCAAAGTCTATACTGAGGTTAACTGATGTAAGTCAAAGGGTCACCCTTAGAGTTCTAGTATTAATCCTTCAAAACTGTAGTATCCTTTGCATAGCTCTAGTCATCTAAATAAAGTTCTGCTAAGTAATGTATCCTAATTTTATGTTTCCATTATAGGTGAAGGAGAACCACAAATTTAAAGAAAGAGAAACTGAAGCCTAGCATGCTGTCCTTGTGTTGGAAACTTGTTAACAGTCTCTCAATAAAGTCTTACAACTTTCTTCAAATACTTCTTGCATATTTTTGTTAAATTTATTCCTAGGCATTTGATGCTCCTAAAAATTGTATTTTTTGGAAAGTTTATATTCTAAGTGTTTGAGTGGGTAAAACGTTTGTACCTTGATTTTCTTTCTAGCAACCTTGCTAAATATGCTTATTAATTCCAAGAGTTTATCTCTTGATCCTTTTGGGATTTTTAAAATACAAAAATCATATCATCTTTGAATAATAAGTTTTGGTTTTGCCATTTTAAACATTATACCTTTTATTTCCTTTTCTCATTTATAGTTTTGGACAGGAGCACCCACTGCTATTTGAATACAACTGGTAGTAGTGGATATCCTTGTCTTTTTCCTGACGTAAATGGAAAATTTTCCGCATTTCAACATAATGTTTACTGTACTTTTTGTAGGTACACTTTATCAAAGTAAGGAAGTTACATTCTACTCCTAGTTTTCTAAGCATACTTAACTTGAATGTATGTAGAATTTCATCAAACACTTAAACAGTGCATTTCTTGAATTCAAATCATAGGATTTGTTCTCCTCCATTGATTGTTTGATGTGGTGAATTATGTTGATAAATTTTTACATTACACCTCTAAGCTCCCATTTATATCCTTACACTCCAATAAAATGGTTCTGCAACAAAGAACTCCACTCAGAATCTACCCTGCTTAGGGAAAGACAGGGGATTATAAACACAATTATTTCGCCCTCTTACAGAGGTTTAAAAATATTTGCCTGATCCAAAGAAAGACAAAGTCTACAGTCCAAATAAAAACTGAGACTAAATGTAGAGTATCCCAATTTGCCACAAAATATGTGAGAGGTTCCTAGGTTGTAGAACTGGCTATAAAGCAAGATCAGCTTGGTGTCAGTTCCCTGTGTTCTAGTCCCAGAGTTTGACACTGAATCAGAGGTGCTCAGTGACAGACACCACCTCACCTCTGCTGGTGAGGAGCTCACAGTTATACCTTAAGGCAGTGAGCAGTTTTCTAGTCCTCAACTGTACTCTCAGGTGGGGTAAGGAATTAAGCCCTATAAAGAATTAAGCCCTAGGTAGAAAAAAAGTGCAAAGACCAAGAGGGACATGGTGAGGCAAAATTACGTGGAGACTACCTACTCTGTCTCCTTAAAGGCATGGCATGAAGTAGCCATGAGTTTCAAGCCTGGCTGTGACACATACTGGCTGTGTGATGGTGGAAAATACTTAAATTCTTTGGGTCTATTTCCCTACTTCTAAAATAGAAACTACAATATTTACATTAAATTACTACTATGAAAAATAAATGATGTAACATTATGATGTAACATTCAAAATAAATGATGAAGTAGACATTAAGTGGATTTGGTTTATTATGTTTCATTTTTCACTTAAATTTTCAAATATTTTTATTTCATTTACCTTTACAATGGCATCTCTAGCAAGTGATTCTGATTTTGAATTTCAAGTAGGTATATCAGACTAACTTCAATAAATTTGAATTCAGAAATATATTTTATTTAAATAAATATATTGATTAAATAGCAATGTAGCTGGTGTGAGGCATGGCATTGATTCTAGAATTGGTTTGTAAATAACGGAGGACTGATAAGGCTACCCTAAGTCATTGTATGTGCTGAAAACTGTGCTCCTTGCTGTGTGTGATGCATAAGAATGTAAGTCAGTATTTCTGATCACGCAACACCACACGATTCAACACCAGAATCTGTCAAGTGGTCAGGGAGTCCTCAAGTAGCACTGCAGATGCTAACAGGGCCACATGGTTCACTACCATGGTTGTTAGGTTGGCTTGTTACACTTTCATAGATTCAGCCAGTAAGGAGACAATGAGCCCGAATGGATTCAAACAGTTCATTACTTACAGACAGAGCAAAAGCAAGATCAGCTTGGTGTCAGTTCCCTGTGTTCTAGTCCCAGAGTTTGACACTGAATCAGAGGTGCTCAGTGACAGACACCGCCTCACCTCTGCTGGTGAGGAGCCCACAGTTATACCTTAAGGCAGTGAGCAGTTTTCCAGTCCTCAACTGTACTCTCAGGTGGGGTAAGGAGCAACATCCTGTACTCAGCTGAAACCAGAGATGGATGAGTAAAAACCTTATGTCAACCTCCAGCTAGATAGTGAGGCAGCTGAGAAACTGCCTAGTGGCAGCTCCTCAGCAGGCTGCTTATCTCCTCTTGCTCCAAGAGGATTCACAAGCTGTTCTGCCAACATTCAGGTCGGCCTGCAGTCTACCCTTGCCTTCATGGCCTACGTGGAGTCATGCAAGGTCACCAGGGCATCAAGGCATAGCTGCTCCCCTACAGTCTGATACAAAACAAAAGGCCCTATGCATGGTGCCTCCAAATACAACATATATAATACTGACTCCTAAATGGAGGAGATGCTTTTCCTGTCAGGGTCATTACAAAGATGTAATTAATTCAGCAGACATGCACTGATTCCTAGCATGTTTATGGAAATACCTCGGATGCTAGAAATGAAAAGATCAACTATGTGTGATGTTTGTTATGGGAGATATCACACTGGTGGGGCAGACAGACACACAAACAGAAAAGCAATTGAAGTGCAAGAGAGAAACACAGGGAAGGAAATCAGCAGGGAAAAAATACAGTGAGCAGGGTAGCCAAGAAGCAGGAGAAAAGGAAGGAGAGAAGACTCATTGTGAGAATAAAAGAGGTCGACTGGACTCTCCATATCCATTGATCACTGTATTCACATACTTGATTCTGCTGATACAAAGCTGCTGATGTCTATGCCTCTGCTATGGGCTGAATCGTGCCCCATGCCCCAAATTGATCTGTTGAAGCCCTAACACCCAATGTGATGGTATGTGGAGATGATGCCTTTGGGAGATAATCAGGTTTAGATGAGTTCACGAGAGTGGGGTTCTCATGATGGGATTAATGCCATTATAAAAAGAAACTCTAGAGCACTTGCTCACTCTCTCTCTCTCTCTGCCATGTGAGGACACAGGGAGAAGACAGCTGCTACAAGCCAGGAAGAGAGCTCTCACCACAATTCAAACATACTGGCACTCTGGTTTTGACTTCCAGCCTCCACAACTGTGAGAAAATAAATTTCTGTTGTTTAAGTCACCTATTGTATATTTTGTTATGGAAGCCCAAACTGAAAAATAAAGATTTCCACTTAAAAACTAAAATAATCACATTGTCAGTATTTTATTCATTCAAAAGTATTTATCAAGTGTCTAGTCTGTTCTTCAACCCCTTTGTATACGGAAAGGCTTCAGTGAATTAATCAATACAGCTCTTAACTGAGGGGTGATCTGATAAAGCAGCATGTCGAAGATTCATTATGAACAAAAAAGAGAATACACTGGTACTATATACTTCTGGACTAAGCAAAGTGCACAAATCTCCCTCTATAAGAACAGAAATTTGTCGAGATATTTCCTATGATCATTAATTTACAATGTATTACTTCCAATACACAAATTGCTGGTTTAATAATGGCTGTGGACAGTGATAACAAAATGGAGTAATATATGTCAAGGCTTCTAAAATGGATCTGGCAGGCCATTAAGGAAATGGGGCTTATACATGCACACCATGTCTCTACCCAAATGCACTGTAGCTTTTGAACTGTGCTTCACTGTTGTCATCTTGATCTTCTTTCAAGAAGTACACTTACTCTCATAGATAAGAACGTTCTGCCTTAGAGATGGCCTTAGCAACCAATCGTGTATAGCCAAGAAGTAAGAGTTGTTGCCAGCAACAATCACAAATTTTGCAAAACAACCTGTGTAATTTATCTCTTTTTGCCTTTATAAACCTTTGCCTCCTTTGTCTCCCTCGGAGTACATTTATGGATTTCTGCCTGCATCTGTGTCTCCTGAATTGCAATTCTAATTGCCTAAATAAATATCTGCTGTTTAAATTATGCTGCTGTTCCCTCGGTCGACAAGGCTGTACTTGATTAACTGAGTAGCATGTGCCATGGTCACTAAAAAAAAAAAGAAAAAAGAAGTCTGAGCACCTGCTCCAGGCTCTGGGCTAGGTAGGCTCTGAGGACATACGAATGATTCATGAAGGATGAGAGTTCTCAAAGAACTCAGAGTCTAATGAGCAGAAAACTACACAGAAGATAGTGACAAAACAAATGTGCTAAGAGCCATGGCAGAGGAGAATCAGGGGGTGCTCAGAACACAGAGGAGAGCCCAGGTAGTCAGGAATGGCTTCACCCAGGGAAGATGTATGTGTTCCAGGTACTGCTTCACTATAAACACATTTTAATATCTCTGTTCATTATTCCCCTTTTGATTAAAAATATAAATCTCTCCATTCAATTATCTCCATTTTATAGATGATCTACCTGAGGATCATTCCATTGTGTGGATATGCCATCATTTGTTAGCTATTCACTAACTGATAAACGTTTTGGCTGTTTCCAGTTTTTGGCTTGGGTAAATAGTCAGGAATGGAATGATTGAAGCCTACAGTACATGTACATTTAACTTTTTAAGCAACTGCCAAACTGTTTTCCATTCCCAGCTGTGTGTGATACTTCCAGTCGTGTATATTGGTTCCATTCTCAAGAACACTTGGTATAGTCGGTCTTTTACTTTTAGCCATTCTAATAGGTGTGTAGTAGTATCTCAATGTAATTTTAATTTGCATTTCAACATGTTGAGCATATTTTCATGTGCACATTTCCTAGCCATATGTATTCTTATCTGTTCCAATCTCCTGCACATATTTTTGGGTTTGTCTTTTTATATTTTTTAAGATTAGCTATTTATTTTTATTTATTCTTGTTATTCAGAAAGCTTGCAGTAATGTCTCTTTGTCTAAGTCTTTACTCATTTGTGATGGATACTCATGGCTTTCATTTTCTAGGAGCATTCTTGCATTATTTCTATGATAAGGTTTTTTTCCTTTTTCTTTTCTCTTTTCTCTGTTCTCTGGAAATTTTCTTAACCTAATTCTAGGCCACATTTATTAGGACTTTGTTTATTGTTTCTCTCTTTTTTCATTTTTATTCAA